CATCATGCAGCTTCCTCTCTAAATCAAAGTACTTCCTCTCTTGATCAAGTGCTTTCTCTCTTCATCAAGATGCTTCCTTCTTCTTCAAATACTCTCTTCTTGATCAAGATGCTTCCTCTCTTCAACAAAGTGCTTCCTCTCTTCTTCAAAGTACTTCCTCTCTTGATCAAGGTGCTTCCTCTCTTCATCATGCAGCTCCTCTCTTCTTCAAAGTACTTCCTCTCTTCAACAAAGTGCTTCCTCTCTTCAACAAAGTGCTTCCTCTCTCTTCAAAGTACTTCCTCTCTTGATCAAGGTGCTTCCTCTCTTCATCAAGATGCTTCCTCTCTTCTTCAAAGTACTTCCTCACTACATCATGCAGCTTCCTCTCTAAATCAAAGTACTTCCTCTCTTGATCAAGGTGCTTCCTCTCTTCATCATGCAGCTTCCTCTCTTCTTCAAAGTACTTCCTCTCTTGATCAAGATGCTTCCTCTTAAATCAAATACTTCCTCTCTTGATCAAGTGCTTCCTCTCTTCATCATGCAGCTTCCTCTCTTCTTCAAAGTACTTCCTCTCTTGATCAAGATGCTTCCACTCTTCAACAAAGTACTTCCTCACTACATCATGCAGCTTCCTCTCTAAATCAAAGTACTTCCTCTCTTGATCAAGTGCTTCCTCCTTCATCAAGATGCTTCCTCTCTCTTCAAAGTACTTCCTCTCTTGATCAAGATGCTTCCTCTCTCAACAAAGGCTTCCTCTCTTCTTCAAGTACTTCTCTCTTGATCAAGGTGCTTCCTCTCTTCATCATGCAGCTTCCTCTCTTCTTCAAAGTACTTCCTCTCTTCAACAAAGTGCTTCCTCTCTTCAACAAAGTGCTTCCTCTCTTCTTCAAAGTACTTCCTCTCTTGATCAAGGTGCTTCCTCTCTTCATCAAGATGCTTCCTCTCTTCTTCAAAGTACTTCCTCACTACATCATGCAGCTTCCTCTCTAAATCAAAGTACTTCCTCTCTTGATCAAGGTGCTTCCTCTCTTCATCATGCAGCTTCCTCTCTTCTTCAAAGTACTTCCTCTCTTGATCAAGATGCTTCCTCTCTAAATCAAAGTACTTCCTCTCTTGATCAAGGTGCTTCCTCTCTTCATCATGCAGCTTCCTCTCTTCTTCAAAGTACTTCCTCTCTTGATCAAGATGCTTCCACTCTTCAACAAAGTACTTCCTCACTACATCATGCAGCTTCCTCTCTAAATCAAAGTACTTCCTCTCTATTCAAAGTGCTTCCTCTCTTCATCAAATGCTTCCCTCTTCTTCAAAGTACTTCCTCTCTTGATCAAGATGCTTCCTCTCTTCAACAAAGTGCTTCCTCTCTTCTTCAAAGTACTTCCTCTCTTGATCAAGGTGCTTCCTCTCTTCATCATGCAGCTTCCTCTCTTCTTCAAGGTGCTTCCTCTCTTCAACAAAGTGCTTCCTCTCTTCAACAAAGTGCTTCCTCTCTTCTTCAAAGTACTTCCTCTCTTGATCAAGGTGCTTCCTCTCTTCATCATGCAGCTTCCTCTCTTCTTCAAAGTGCTTCCTCTCTTCAACAAAGTGCTTCCTCTCTTCATCATGCACCTTCCTCTCTTCTTCAAAGTACTTCCTCTCTTGATCAAGATGCTTCCTCTCTTCAACAAAGTGCTTCCTCTCTTCTTCAAAGTACTTCCTCTCTTGATCAAGGTGCTTCCTCTCTTCTTCAAAGTGCTTCCTCTCTTCAACAAAGTGCTTCCTCTCTTCATCATGCAGCTCCTCTCTTCTTCAAAGTGCTTCCTCTCTTCTTCAAAGTACTTCCTCTTTGATCAAGATGCTTCCTCTCTTCAACAAAGTGCTTCCTCTCTTCAACAAAGTGCTTCCTCTCTTCTTCAAAGTACTTCTCTCTTGATCAAGGGTTTCCTCTCTTCATCAAGATGCTTCCTCTCTTTCTTCAAAGTACTTCCTCTCTTGATCAAATGCTTCCTCTCTAAATCAAGATGCTTCCTCTCTTGATCAAGGTGCTTCCTCTCTTCATCATGCAGCTTCCTCTCTTCTTCAAAGTACTTCCTCTCTTGATCAAGATGCTTCCTCTCTAAATCAAGATGCTTCCTCTCTTCTTCAAAGTACTTCCTCTCTTGATCAAGGTGCTTCCTCTCTTCTTCAAAGTGCTTCCTCTCTTCAACAAAGTGCTTCCTCTCTTCATCATGCAGCTTCCTCTCTTCTTCAAAGTACTTCCTCTCTTGATCAAGATGCTTCCTCTCTAAATCAAAGTACTTCCTCTCTTGATCAAGGTGCTTCCTCTCTTCATCATGCAGCTTCCTCTCTTCTTCAAAGTACTTCCTCTCTTGATCAAGATGCTTCCTCTCTTCAACAAAGTACTTCCTCACTACATCTGCAGCTTCCTCTCTAAATCAAAGTACTTCCTCTCTTGATCAAGGTGTCCTCTCTTCATCAAGATGCTTCCTCTCTTCTTCAAAGTACTTCCTCTCTTGATCAAGATGCTTCCTCTCTTCAACAAAGTGCTTCCTCTCTTTCAAAGTACTTCCTCTCTTGATCAAGGTGCTTCCTCTCTCATCATGCAGCTTCCTCTCTTCTTCAAAGTGCTTCCTCTCTTCAACAAAGTGCCTCTCTCTCATCATGCACCTTCCTCTCTTCTTCAAAGTACTTCCTCTCTTGATCAAGATGCTTCCCTCTTCAAAAAGTGCTTCCTCTCTTCTTCAAAGTACTTCCTCTCTTCATCATGCAGCTTCCTCTCTTCTTCAAAGTGCTTCCTCTCTTCAACAAAGTGCTTCCTCTCTTCAACAAAGTGCTTCCTCTCTTCTTCAAAGTGCTTCCTCTCTTCTTCAAAGTACTTCCTCTCTTGATCAAGATGCTTCCTCTCTTCAACAAAGTGCTTCCTCTCTTCAACAAAGTGCTTCCTCTCTTCTTCAAAGTACTTCCTCTCTTGATCAAGGTGCTTCCTCTCTTCATCAAGATGCTTCCTCTCTTCTTCAAAGTACTTCCTCTCTTGATCAAGATGCTTCCTCTCTAAATCAAGATGCTTCCTCTCTTGATCAAGGTGCTTCCTCTCTTCTTCAAAGTACTTCCTCACTACATCATGCAGCTTCCTCTCTAAATCAAAGTACTTCCTCTCTTGATCAAGGTGCTTCCTCTCTTCATCATGCAGCTTCCTCTCTTCTTCAAAGTACTTCCTCTCTTGATCAAGATGCTTCCTCTCTAAATCAAGATGCTTCCTCTCTTCTTCAAAGTACTTCCTCTCTTGATCAAGGTGCTTCCTCTCTTCATCAAGATGCTTCCTCTCTTCTTCAAAGTGCTTCCTCTCTTCTTCAAAGTACTTCCTCACTACATCATGCAGCTTCCTCTCTAAATCAAGATGCTTCCTCTCTTCTTCAAAGTACTTCCTCTCTTGATCAAGATGCTTCCTCTCTTCATCATGCAGCTTCCTCTCTTCTTCAAAGTGCTTCCTCTCTTCTTCAAAGTACTTCCTCACTACATCATGCAGCTTCCTCTCTAAATCAAAGTACTTCCTCTCTTGATCAAGGTGCTTCCTCTCTTCATCATGCAGCTTCCTCTCTTCTTCAAAGTACTTCCTCTCTTGATCAAGATGCTTCCTCTCTAAATCAAGATGCTTCCTCTCTTCTTCAAAGTACTTCCTCTCTTGATCAAGGTGCTTCCTCTCTCTTCAATGCTTCCCTCTTCAACAAAGTGCTTCCTCTCTTCATCATGCAGCTTCCTCTCTTCTTCAAATACTTCCTCTCTTATCAAGATGCTTCCTCTCTAAATCAAAGTACTTCCTCTCTTGATCAAGGTGCTTCCTCTCTTCATCATGCAGCTTCCTCTCTTCTTCAAAGTACTTCCTCTCTTGATCAAGATGCTTCCTCTCTTCAACAAAGTACTTCCTCACTACATCATGCAGCTTCCTCTCTAAATCAAAGTACTTCCTCTCTTGATCAAGGTGCTTCCTCTCTTCATCAAGATGCTTCCTCTCTTCTTCAAAGTACTTCCTCTCTTGATCAAGATGCTTCCCTCTCTCAACAAAGTGCTTCCTCTCTTCTTCAAAATACTTCCTCTTCTGATCAAGGTCTTCCTCTCTTCATCATGCAGCTTCCTCTCTTCTTCAAAGTGCTTCCTCTCTTCAACAAAGTTTCCTCTCTTCAACAAAGTGCTTCCTCTCTTCTTCAAATACTTCCTCTCTTGATCAAGTGCTTTCCTCTCTCATCATGCAGCTTCCTCTCTTCTTCAAAGTGCTTCCTCTCTTCAACAAAGTGCTTCCTCTCTTCATCATGCACCTTCCTCTCTTCTTCAAAGTACTTCCTCTCTTGATCAAGATGCTTCCTCTCTTCAACAAAGTGCTTCCTCTCTTCTTCAAAGTACTTCCTCTCTTCATCATGCAGCTTCCTCTCTTCTTCAAAGTGCTTCCTCTCTTCAACAAAGTGCTTCCTCTCTTCAACAAAGTGCTTCCTCTCTTCTTCAAAGTGCTTCCTCTCTTCTTCAAAGTACTTCCTCTCTTGATCAAGATGCTTCCTCTCTTCAACAAAGTGCTTCCTCTCTTCAACAAAGTGCTTCCTCTCTTCTTCAAAGTACTTCCTCTCTTGATCAAGGTGCTTCCCTCTTTCATCAAGATGCTTCCTCTCTTCTTCAAAGTACTTCCTCTCTTGATCAAGATGCTTCCTCTCTAAATCAAGATGCTTCCTCTCTTGATCAAGGTGCTTCCTCTCTTCTTCAAAGTACTTCCTCACTACATCATGCAGCTTCCTCTCTAAATCAAAGTACTTCTCTCTTGATCAAAGTGCTTCCTCTCTTCATCATGCAGCTTCCTCTCTTCTTCAAAGTACTTCCTCTCTTGATCAAGATGCTTCCTCTCTAAATCAAGATGCTTCCTCTCTTCTTCAAAGTACTTCCTCTCTTGATCAAGTGCTTCCTCTCTTCATCAAGATGTTCCTCTCTTCTTCAAAGTGCTTCCTCTCTTCTTCAAAGTACTTCCTCACTACATCATGCAGCTTCCTCTCTAAATCAAGATGCTTCCTCTCTTCTTCAAAGTACTTCCTCTCTTGATCAAGATGCTCCTCTCTTCATCATGCAGCTTCCTCTCTTCTTCAAAGTGCTTCCTCTCTTCTTCAAATACTTCCTCACTACATCATGCAGCTTCCTCTCTAAATCAAAGTACTTCCTCTCTTGATCAAGATGCTTCCTCTCTAAATCAAGATGCTTCCTCTCTTCTTCAAAGTACTTCCTCTCTTGATCAAGGTGCTTTCCTCTTCAACAAAAGTGCTTCCTCTCTTCAACAAAGTGCTTCCTCTCTTCTTCAAAGTACTTCCTCTCTTGATCAAGGTGCTTCCTCTCTTCATCAAATGCTTCCTCTCTTCTTCAAAGTACTTCCTCTCTTGATCAAGATGCTTCCTCTCTTCATCATGCAGCTTCCTCTCTTCTCAAAGGGCTTCCTCTCTTCTTCAAAGACTTCCTCACTACATCATGCAGCTTCCTCTCTAAATCAAAGTACTTCCTCTCTTGATCAAGGTGCTTCCTCTCTTATCATGCAGCTTCCTCTCTTCTTCAAAGTACTTCCTCTCTTGATCAAGATGCTTCCTCTCTAAATCAAGATGCTTCCTCTCTTCTTCAAAGTACTTCCTCTCTTGATCAAGCTCTTCCTCTCTTCTTCAAAGTGCTTCTCTCTTCAACAAGTGCTTCCTCTCTTGATCAAGATGCTTCCTCTCTTCAACAAAGTGCTTCCTCTCTTCTTCAAAGTACTTCCTCTCTTGATCAAGGTGCTTCCTCTCTTCATCATGCAGCTTCCTCTCTTCTTCAAAGTGCTTCCTCTCTCAACAAAGTCTTCCTCTCTTCATCATGCAGCTTCCTCTCTTCTTCAAAGTATTCCTCTCTTGATCAAGATGCTTCCCTCTCTTCAACAAAGCTTCTCTCTTCTTCAAAGTACTTCCTCTCCTGATCAAGGTGCTTTCCTCTCTTCTTCAAAGTGCTTCTCTCTTCAACAAAGTGCTCCTCTCTCATCATTGCAGCTTCCTCTCTTCTTCAAAGTACTTCCTCTCGTATCAAGGTGCTTTCTCTTTCATCAAGAATGCTTCCTCTCTTCTTCAAAGTACTTCCTCACTACATCAAGCAGCTTCCTCTCTAATCAAAGTACTTC